GTGCTAAAATAACACCGATCAGAGGAGAAACCAGTGCTCTGTAAACGAAGGCTTGTGGGCCAAATTTAGCTGGTCACCTATTTTTGAATGGCCTGTAAGCTAAGAATGGTTTTTACACTTCTTTTATGGCTGAAAAATAAAAATGACAAAGAAAAAAATAAATTTGTGACTTGTGAAATTTAAATTACATGAAATTCACACTTCAGTTCCATATAGTCTTCCTGACACAGCCATGCTCACTCACTCACGCATTGTCTTTGGCTACTTTCTATAAAGGCTGATTTCAGTATTTGTGATTCCCAAGCCTAAAATATTTGTCACTTTCCCAAATGGATTTCCTGACCTCCAGCAGATGGAAAAATCCAACTTTGTAACAGGTAAAGAGGGATGTTAGTCACAATTGTAGAAAAGTGTGTGTTTTTTTGCAGTGGTTGAACTATTAGACCCTGGTGAAGGCTTTAAAAGGGCAGGCCAGGCAGCGGGCGGATACATTCCTTCCCCAGCCTGGTTTAGGTTCTTGGGAGGGGTCACTTTGGCCACAGTGAGGTGTGCACAGTTTGAGAGTAGCAGCGTTATCTATTCTACACCTTTCTTTTCCTCAGAGTGTTTTTCCACATTGTTCATGCTTAAAGAAAGGCCAATGAGACTATAATTAAGACTTTCATTAAGCATTCTGGATGATTAAATATTCAGTCAAAGAACTTCTTAATAAGGAATTTTTCAAAAATACTTAACCATATTTCTTAATTACAAATTGATTTCTTCCCAAGTCACTGCTTATTGGCCAAAAACAAGTACACAAAAAAGGAGCCTTGCAAAACATTTTAAGGGCTCCTGTAAAGGCAACTGCCCAGGAGCATGTGAAGTGCCCAGGGCTTAAGACTTCATTCATTTCCGACTCTCGGAGCAGAGACCAGAAGTCAGGTTCAGGGGAGCCACTCTGGCTTTCCCAGAGGCAGTTGTCCGAGACGCAGGCTGTCTTGTTCATCTCAAGTAGAAAACCTAAGTCGAAGTCACTGAAAAATGCCCACGCCTTTGGAAAATTGGGGGATTATATCTAAAATCCAGTTCCGTTTCTATTCATTAAATCGTTACTCTGGGTGAGTGAGTAGATGGGGCGAATCCACAGATCTCAAGTGTAGGGGAGAGAAAGAGAGCGTTGTTGAAATTGTACAAAATGCAAGTTTCTGTTGCAATCAGAGCCCAGGACGAATGACATCCTAGCACTGGCCGAAGGAAGCCTCTCTGCATCCTTTACAAACCTTCTCAAGGAAAAAAAATATTTTTTCCGAACTTGAGAGTAATCAATGTGATAAAAACAGTACGGCAAGAAGGCACTAACTGCGTTTTTGCGTCTCTGCCCTTTTCAGACGAAAGTAGGCGGGACGACCCCCGGCGGAGGCAGCTTCGAGGAGGTGCTCAGC